CTCTCTCCCTCCCTCCCTCCCTCCCCTCCCTGACCCTCCCGTTAGGGCCCCTCCACCCCTCCCTCCTTCCCTCCGTCCCTCACCGGCCTTTCGGAATATCTCCTTTCGCTCACTACTTCACTACCCTTCCTTTCTCCCCTATCCTAGCCTCTTCATACTCCCTCCCTCCTTCCTCCTTTACCCTACGTAATGTCCCCCTCAATCCCTCCTTCCCCTCCCTTCCTACCCTCCGCAATGCCCTACTTGATGTCCTCCGCCCTCCCTCCTCTCCGACCCTCGTTATGTCCTTTTCCTCCTCCTCCCTCCCTCCCCTCCCTCCTCCTCCCTTACTTCCATAACATCCCCCCTCCTTCCCCTCCCTCCCTTCGACCTCCTACCCCTGTCGTATACTCAGAGGCCTACGAAAGAGGGAAGGAAGGAGGACGATAAATATGTAAGCCACAGTAAACAAAAGACAGAGAGTGATAGTGATAGGTGTAAGAGTACACAGAGGGTGAAAGAGATAGAGATGGATAGATGGAGAAAGATATATATGTGTGATGTGTGTGTGTGTAAACATATAACATACATATATATATAATATATATATATATATATATATATTATATATATATATATATATATATATATATATATATATATAATGCATAATATATAATATATATATATATATTATATATATATATATAATATATAATAATATATATATGTATAGTATAGTATATATATATATATATATATATATATATATTATTAATTAATATTATAAATATATATTATAAATAATATATATATATATAAATAATATATAATATATGCCACATATAGGTATACTATATATATATATGAATATATATATATATATATATATAGATATATATCATATATATTATATATAGAGTATATATATATATAATATATATGTATATATATACATATTATATATAATATATATATATATATATATATATATATTATATATATTATATATATATATATATATATATATATATATATATATATATATATATATATATATAGAGAAGAAGAGAGAGAGAGAGAGAGAGAGAGAGAGAGAGAGAGAGGAGGAGAGGAGAGAGAGAGAGAGAGAAGAGAGAGAGAGAGAGAGAGAGAGAGAGAGAGAGAGAAGAGAGAGAGAGAGAGAGAGAGAGAGAGAGAGAGAGAAGAGAGAGAAAGAGAAGAGAAAGAGAAAGATAGAAAGAAACAGACAGACAAAGAGAGGCAGAAAGAGAAAGAGGAAAAAGAAGCGCGTGCGTCGGCATCCCCTCGCGTGTCCTCAGCAGTTCCGAGAAAAAGGATTCTCTCGCGAGGGAAACACATGCAAACGTTTCCTGCGGAGGGACGCTTATGGGGGGGGGGGTCCCTTGGGGGGAGGGGGGTCCCTTTGAGTGCTTCTGTGGGAGGAGGCGGTACCGTGACGCCGGCGGGGGGGGGGGGGACTTTCACTGGTTAGCCTCGGGGAGAAAGTCCTGCGTGAGGTGGGCGTGGCGAGAGCGGGCGCGGGATCCGGCGGGCGGCACAGAGCTCGGGATCCGCGGGGTTGTATGTACATGCTGTCATGAGAAGAAATGTATATACGTACATATGTGTATACAAACACGCACACACAACACATACACATATACACAGACACACACCACACACCACACACACACACGCGCACATGTATATATCTGTATTTGTGTGTGTGTGTGTGTGTGTGTGTATGTGTGTGTGTCTGTGCGTGTGTGCGTATACACGTGCATATACGCATTTGTGCTTTTATCTGTCCATACACACACAAACATGAAACTACATCGCCATCCTCATACAACGCCACTCCACCGAAGCGACCACGAGAGAGAGAGAGAGTCCATAAAACCCTCTTCTTTCCGTCTCCATCCTCTCGGCCAGCCAGCAGCTCCTCGAAGCACCAACTGTGGAAATTAACAGCCTGTGTACAAGGGGAAAAAGGGGAGTGCGGGGTTGTAAAAGCCTTCTCTGTCTCTGAAGACTGTGTTATCTAACGCGCATTGATTTTCATGGAGCCGTTTGAGGTACGGTGCGATTTGGGGATTTTTTTTTTTTTTTTTTTTTTTTTTTTTTTTTTTCTTTCGTGTTGGTAAGCGGTTTCGTTCACAAGTGTACGAAGGATGTTTTTTTAAAGTTAATGGTGAATTATATGATGATGATTGTGATGGCGGTGGTGATGATGACGATAATGATGATGATTGATAGTGATTGATGATTAATAAGATGATGGTGATGATGAAGATGGTGATGGTGGTGGTGTGGGTGGGGGAGGTGGTGTTGGTGGTGGTGTGGTGGTGGTGGTGGTGGTGGTGGTGTGGGTGTGTGGTGGTGGTGGTGGTGTGGTGGTGATGATGGATGATGATGATGATGATGATGATGATGATGATGATGATGATGATGATGATGATGATGATGATGATGATTGATGATGATGGTACAGATAACAAAATGATAATGGTAATAATAATACTGATGCTAATGATGATGATAAAAATGATAAGAATGATAGTAATGTTAGAAAAAAATAACAAAACGGATACCAAATATCATTCAAAATCAGCTAGACGCTAATTATCCCCAATATCATATACCATTTACCAATTACCAATTTCCTTGCAAGTATGAAGACAACACACCAACCTTCTTGCTTAGAATCGTGTTACTTTTCCAATAAGGAGAAATCTAACGCTCTATAATCAACAAATATCATATAAACACATCTAAAGTTTGGATATAAATGATATAAACACATCAGGTTTGCCACAATCATTTCCCTTTACTCTTTGCTTCATTATAAACTGGTCTCCACTCTGTTTAAACGGCGCGGGAGACCTGGAAGAGAAAGAGTCCGCCGGGTGAACGTGGAAGCGAGAAAGGTGTTCGATTCCCTTCTCTTTCCATAAGGCGTAAGGCAGCGGCGCGGTTCGGGGAAAGCCGTAGTATCTCCCGCAGATGAGTGTGTGTGTGTGTGTGTGTTTACGAGTGTGTACGAGTGTGTGTGTGTGTGTGTGTGTGTTTGGTGTGTGTGTGTGTGTGTGGTGTGTGTTTACGAGAGAGAGTGTGTGTGTGTGTGTGTGTGTGTGTGTGTGTGTGTGTGTGTGTGTGTGTGTGTGTGTGTGTGTGTGTGTGTGTGTGTGTGTGTGTAAGAGAGAGAGAGAGAGAGAGAGAGAGAGAGAGAGAGAGAGAGAGTGAGAGAGAGAGAGAGAGAGAGAAGAGAGAGAGAGAGAGAGAGTGTGTGTGTGTGTGTGTGTGTGTGTGTGTGTGTGTGTGTGTGTGTGTGTGTGTGTGTGTGTGTGTGTGTGTGTGTGTGTGTGTGTGTGTGTGGTGTAGTGTGAGTGTGTGCAAACATCCGCATGAACGATTTCGCCGTCATAATCTTTTTTTGCTTCTTTTTTTCTGGTACTTTTACTGTCCTCGTCAAGAGATGGCTTTGGGTTATGGTGTGTTTTATGATGAATAGATTGGGATGACAGTAAAGTAGCTTCGTTGTTATTTATTGGAAAATCATGTTTTTTGTGTGTGTGTTTTTGCTTTTGTTTTGTTTTCTGGTAGTCTTTGGATACATTGGCCTAGGCTGCTGATTTAAGTGATATGAAAAACATCAAAAGAAACATTTTGTGTTCGCTTATGCGTTTAAATATAATCGTGTTCATGTACTACGGGGTCTTTAATGAAGGTCCACGTAGATTATTTATTCAACCATAAAAATATGCAAAAAGTTAATGGACAGGATTTTATACAGAACACACAGAAAAAGTAAATCAACGTTGGCAGCTTCAAAATAAATTCATCATTTTTTATTTCCACGTCATAACTCACCTCTGCCCCCAGGATGTACGGCTAATGGAGTTTGGGACGACAAAGGGCGTCCTGCACTTCAGGGATTCGACGTGTACATCCGGGAGGACCCAGGCGACCTCGGGGGACCTCATGGAACCCAGGACCCACGTCATGGCGACCGCGGGTTCGACGGAACAAGCACAATCCACGACCTCGCCTCGGGCATCGTCAGGCGGTTCTTCACTGATGCCGGGTCGTTACGCCAAGCCAGAGACATCAGTTTATTAAGTGAACGTCTGGCAGACATCCTCCTGCTCTTGGCGAGTGATCTGAGACTAAGCAGAAGCAAGAGACACGGCCAGACGAAGGAAGACAGAGGGTCGAGTTTCGAAGCGAGGAACAGGTCCTTCTCCGCTCAATCTGTCGCCGAGCCCAGGTTTGCCTTCTTCCCTTCCCTCGACGCCTGGCTGGACGAGCTCCAGTCCACCTTCAAGCGGGACATGATTTTCAACGTGGCCAAAGTCGGGGGAATCGCCTTCCTCTACTATTTCGCGCCCGGGGTCCTCACGTGGATCGAGTCAACGTTCGGGTTCTGAGGCCTCATGGCGGTTCTGAGGCCTCATGGCGGTTCTGAGGCTTCGTGGCGGTTCACAGGGTCGAAGCAGCGGCACACACGACGCTGTTTAAAACGAACAACGAGCTTGTGTCTTACATCTTGGTACATAATTCAGAAATGTCGTGTAGCCTGAGACATACCTAAGTTTCTGTTAACCGTGACTTCAGCCAGATGGTCCGTGAACAAACCCTGAACATCGTAAAGCGTCAGTCGTCCGTGCAGTGACAGTGGTCCGTGGTGCGTCAGAGGCCGTTCTCTGGTGGCTATAACACGGTGACTCATTTGAACAGTGGAAAAGCTGTTATAATATGGACGATAGTGTTTGATTGGTGCCTACAGAATACCATGAAGACTACCAATAAAGAAATAAAAGAGGTAGTTAACACAGTGCCGTCTTTTAAATGGAAACCAGAAATTATTGTGTGACAGTAGTGTTTAGCCAGCAGTGATAGAAAAACAAATTTTGTCAGTGTTTCCGAATAAAGAAGTGTAAATGAAAACGGAAAAGTGATATTAAGGTGTCGCTGTTTTTTCCCTTAATTATGAAATGCCGCTTAATGACAAATACTGAAAAAAAACAATCAACTTGTTTATGATTATATCCCTGTGTTCTATTTTCTACTAAATTACAAATCACACAATACATTAATTTTTTGTAATAGGAAACCAGGCTCTTATGATACCTGTTCTTATGATGCAACGAGAAAGAAGAAAATGATTGTTTTCGACACAAACTAAATAAAGGAACATCTTTAATCTCTCTCTCTCTCTCTCTCTCTCTCTCTCTCTCTCTCTCTCTCTCTCTCTCTCTCTCTCTCTCTCTCACTCTCTCTCCTCTTCTCCCTCTTCCCTCATAAAAAATGCACACATTGACACATATCCAAGGAAACATCTCTGTTTCTCGTATCCCCCCCCCCCCCTCCTCTCTCTCTATCTCTCTCTCTCTCTCTCTCTTCTCTCTCTCTCTCTCTCCTCTCCTCTCTCTCTCTCTCTCTCTCTCTCTCTTGCTCTATCATATGGCTCCCCATTTGGTACATATCAAAAGGAAAATTTTCCTTCACCCTTCTCTTCCCCTCTCTGTTTTTCCTCCTCTCTCTTCCTCCTCCTCCTTCTCTCTCTCTCTCTCTCTTCTCTCTCTCTCTCCTCTCTCCTCTCTCTCTCTCTCTCTCTTCTCCTCTCTCTCTCTCTCTCTCTCTCTCTCCTCCTCTCTCATCTCTCCTGTATCATACGGTTCCCCTGGCATCAAAAATGCACACATACATTGGCACATATCCAAGGAGACTTCTCTTCTCTCTACTCCCCCATCTCTCTCTCTCTCTCTCTCCTCTCTCTCTCTCTCCCTCTCTCTCTCTCTCTCTCTCTCTCTCTCTCTTCCTCTCTCTCTCTCTCTCTCTCTCTCTCTTCCCACCTCTCTGGTTCCCTTCCTCTCTCTCTGTTCCTCCTCCCCCCTCTCTCTCTCTTATTCTTTCTTCCGCCCTCTCGTTCTCTCTTTCTCCTCCCCCCTTTTCTCTATTTCATTTTGTTTCCTGCACTACCACATGTTTCCCCTATCATCAAAAATGCACACACACATTGGCACATATCCAAGGAAACCTCAAGACGTCATACCATCCGAGCCCATATATAAACATAGTAAAAAAGGAGAAAAAAGAAGAATAAAAATAATGATAAGAAATAGAAGCAGAAGAGTCTCATTATCAAAAGCAATGCGATTGGACAAAATACTTGGTGTATGACTCATGAGATTAGTGGTCAAAGGCGATGATATACGGAAATGTTAATGGAAAAACATGCAGTAAAATGGGTTTTTAAATCATTCATATGTCATTTTTTTCAAATATATAAATCTTAACAGAATCAGAAAAAAAGACTCATCGACGTAGGGAGTTGAAAAGGAAATGTTAATAAGCAGATGGAATTGTAACAAATGAAAGGAAGTTTATGATATATACACTTAAGAGAGAAGTAACCTTGGTAAATTGCCCAATATGGCTACAATACAAGAATGAATTTTACTTATGCTATATCTTTTTGGTGAAAGGTGCATGTAAAGAAGCTGGTGATGGCAAATGAGAAGGTGAAAGAGAACAGTGAAGGTGATTATTTGATATCTTGTCAAAGTGATAATTTATTGAAATACAACAGTGATATTTGCTCATGTTGTACGTAGTCTGTTATTCCCAGCTTGTCAAGTACACCTTAGCATCTTTTAGCATCTTAGAAAAAAAGAAAAATATATACATAACACAACGCATAACACACACACACACACACACACACACACACACACACACACACACACACACACACACACACACACACAACACACATACACACACACACACCAACAACCCCACCCCCCCACCCACCCACACACGCACACACACACACCAACATTCTGACGCTACAACACAATAACACGAAAATAACAAATAAACACAGACTTATCCACTTACGAAGAAACTGATAAGGGACAGAAATATCGCCCTTAACTACAGGATCAGCATAAGGACATTACCGCTCTGCAAAACTTTGTTATGTTGTGAGGGAGCGAGTGAGGGAGGGCTGGCTGTGAGTGCCGGGGTGAGGGATATAAAGGAAGGAGGAGGGAGAGGGGGAGGAAGGAGGAAGATGGATGATTTGGGAAGAAGTAAGAGGGAGGAGGGAGTGTTAAATAGAGGGGAAGAGGAGGAAGGAGGAAGAGGGAAAGGGAAGTGAAAGTGAAGAAAGGATGATGATTTGGAAGAAGTAAGAGGGAGGAAGGGGTGTTAAATAGGGGGGAAGAGGAGGAAGAGGGAAAGGGAGAGTGAAAGTTGAAGAAGGAAGGAGAAAGGAGGAAAATGGATGATTTGGGAAGAGGGAGGAAGAAAGTGAGTTAATGTTGATAGGGGGGGGGTAAAATAGGAGGGAAAGGGAGGAAGGAAGGAGAGGGAAAGAGAGTGAAAGTTGAAGAAGAAGGAGAAAGGAGGAAATGGATGAATTGGGAAAAAAGCAAGGAAAAGATACGTAAAAAAAGAGGAAAAGGAAAAAGGAGAAGAAAAATTTATTTTGGGAAAAAATGATGATTTGGGAAGAAGAAAAACGGAGAGCTGAAGTTAATTAGCGTAAGGTAAGAAGGAGGAATGTGAGGAAAGAAGGAAGGAAGAAGGACAACAAAAGTCAAGGGAAATAAAAAGGAGGAAGAGACAGAGTTAAAGTTGATTGGAGGAGGGAGAAAGAAAAAAAAAAGATAATTACGAGAATGGAAGAAGAGAAATGAAAGAGGAAGAGGGGGAAATTTTTTCTTTTATTTTTTTTATTTAGGGAGAGGTAAGGAAGAAGGAGAAAAGCTGATAAAGAAGGGAGGGAGGATAAGATGGAAGACGAGGAGAAAGGAAGAAGGAAAAGGGAAAATTAGCGATTCGGGCCGGGGAAGAGGGGGAGGTAGAGGAGAAAGGAGAAAAAAAGGAGAAAGAAGAAGACGTAGAAAGTATGAAAATAAAATCTGATTGGGAATGGGAAGTAAACAGGAAGAAGAAAGGAAGAGAATAAAAAAGAAATGGGAGGTAAGAAGAGGAGAAATTAGGAAGTGAGTTGATGGAGAATATTTGCTGTGCCATGGAAGAGGGAGATGAGGAAGGATAATAAAGAGAGAAGACGAGAAAGGAGGATAAAAATGCATAGAGAGTAATAGGAGGAGGAAGAAGAAGAAGAAGAGGAAAAATTAAGGGAGGAGGAGGCAGAACAAAGAGAAAAGTTAGTGAAGGGAGAAGAAGGAAAAAAGCAAGATATGTTGATGAAGAAACAGAAAGAAGAAGGAACACGAGGAGGAAGAAGGGGAAGAAGAAGAAGAAAAAAAGTTTATGGAGAAGCAGGAAGAAGAATAAAAAGAGGAAAAGTTAGTTGAAGAAACAGAAGGAAGAAGAAGACGAAGACGAATGAAGTTAATGAAGGAACAAGAGGAAGAAGAAAGAGAAAAAGGGGACAGGAAGAAGAAATAGAAGACGAAGAAGAGTTAATGAAATACCAGGTGGAGGAGGAGGAAGAAGAGGAAGAAAAGTTTATTGAGAAAACGAAAAAGAAAATCAAGAACAAGAAAAGTTAATGGAAGGGCAATAAGAAGGAGAAACAGAAAAAGAAGAAAAGTTAATGAAGGTATTGAAAGAGGAATAAGAAGAAAAGTTAAGACATATGTACTGCGAAGGAGGAAGATGAAGAGGAAGGAGAATAAAAGTTGGTGAAGGATAACAAAGAGGAGAAGGAAGAGGAAAAATGATGAATGATGTAGTGCGAAAGAGAGAGGGAAAAGAAGACTAACGAATGGGAGAAAGAAGATAGAGAGAGAGGGAGACAAAAGTGGAGCAGGATAATTAATACAAAAGAAGAGGCAAAGGAGAAGAGAGATTAAACGAGGTGGGAAAGGAAAGGCGGAAGAGGAATAACGATAGATGGGCAATATGTAGTAAGGAAGAAGGGGGATAGCTTATCTGAGGCAGGAAGAAGAGGAGGAGAAAGAAGAATTAAAAAATAAAGAAGAGAGAAGTTGATGGGTGAAAGAGGGATAAGGGAAGGGAATACAATAAAAAGATGAAATGCAAACTAAGTGAAAAAAGGGAAACAAGATAAGAGAATAAACAGGATAAAAGAGAAAGACATAGAAACATCTAGAAAAAAAGGAAGAGAAGTTGGAAAAATAATTAAATGAAAGAAATTGTCCTCATTCTAATCTAAAGTTTCAATTAGATTACAATGAAAAGGCTAGAGCAAGTGTCTCCAGCACGGGGTCACAGCTCCCAGGGGGTCACGTGGTACTTACAAGGGGGCCATGGAGCGACAGGGAAAGTTTGGCGTTGACTTAAATTGAATTTTATCTCGCTTACACTCCCTCCATTTAATCATCTCTCACATATTAATGAATTGTAATCTTTCCATAAAGTTCTTGTCCTATAACAATTGACACTATTGCACTATTTTATAACTATTTTTATAACTATTTATAACTATTACAGTATTTCATAACTATTTTTATAACTATAACTGTTACACTATCTTATAAGAAATTTTATAACTATTTATTATTAAGTTATTACTATTTATAACTTACACTACTTTATAACTATTACACTACGTTATAACTATTACACTACTTTATAACTATTTTCATAACTATTCTTATACTGTATTCTTATAACTATTATTATTCTATAACTAACACTATATATATAACTATTACACTATTCTAAAACTATTCTTATAACTATTACACTATTCTATAACTATTATTACACTATATAACTATTCTTATAACTATTACACTATTCTATAACTATTCTTATAACTATTACACTGTTATAACTATTATAACTATTCTATAACTATATAGCTATTACACTATTCTATATCGTTATAACTATTACACTATTTTATAACTATTCTTATAACTATAACTTATAACTATTCACTATCTATTATAACTATTACACTGTTTACTATTCTTATAACTATTACACTATCTATAACTATATACTATTACACTATTCTGTAACTAGAATAACTATTACACTATTCTATAACTATTCTTATATATTACTA